CCCCTCCGGGGCTGCCACAACTCCTCACGAAATCCCTTTGCCCGCCGTGTGCCCCCACCCGTCCGGCTCTCCCACCTCACGGGGCCGCACGCGCTGCGGGGTCCCGAGGTCGCGGTGGCTTCAGGATGCGGGCGAGAAGAGAAACCCGCTCAGAGCATCACTGCGGCGTATACATTCGTAACGCCGAGGGACCCGGCCAAAAGCCGCCTCGCACCGAGGCAAAGCCAGGGGATCCCGGCATGGTGTTCCCCGGTTGCTATGCGGCCGTAGGAAGGCCGAACCGAGGTGGCAACGAGGTCCACTCCCGTTCCGCTCCTCGAATATAAAAATCAAAAACAATCGGAAATTAAAACCGCTCTGCGAGGGTCACTGCAAACAAATGGCCCCGGCACAGCCCGAACCCTGCAGCTTTCTGGTTCGTGGAATTCGCTCAAAGCAATAATCGCGGCACGCATTGCAACACACGTGGGTGAACTCCGGGCTGTGGCCCGAGGCGGCCGTGAGGGGCGGCCTCCGTGGCCGAGCTCTGGAACCCGGAGCCGAGTCCGCGACAGCGTGAGATGGCTGAGATCCGCACCGTGCGGAGCCGCCGGGGCCGCGAGGAGGCCGAGGCGGCTCTCCCTCTTTGGTGGCCTTGTGGGGAAACGCCTGAACTCGGGAGTGGAGTGATGGCATCCTTCAGCCCCCGCTCCCTGAATGATGCCATTAAAGTCTGCTGAGTTTTAGGATCGGCGCTAAACGGGATCGTTTACAGTGTAACACGTCGTGAGAGAGGCGGAGGAGCGCGCAGGTTCAAAGAGCTGCGCCTCGAAAAAAAATAATTAAAAAAATGCCCCGTATTTATTTTTTTTAGTCTGTGCACACAGTGAACGCGGCACAGCTCGGCTTTCCGCCCTGAGCACCGAACCCCGGTGCAACAAAGGGCCGTTGTGTGCGGCGGGGCCGTGCGGGAGCCGCTGTGTGCGGGATCCGCGGTGATTGGGGACTGTGGCGGGCGGGGCGTGGGGACGAGGGGGAGCGGCACAGCTCTGTCCGGTTCGGACAGAAAATAAATCTTCAGAACACCTCGAAACACCCGAAATCCTAATAAATAGGAAGAAAATAATAATTAAAAAAAAAAAAAAAAAGACCAAACGAACACCAGGAGCCGTTCTAAGATCTCTTTTAGTCCCCTCGCCAACACAGCCTCTGAGTCCACCTGCGAACAGGGGACAGGGGCAGGAGGTTGGAGGACACCTGGAGACCCCCGAGGGCTGCCGCTTCTTCCCCTTCCCCTCCTCACAGGGGCCGATGGGGCCGCACGAAGCGGGCGCCGGTGCTGGGCCGAGCGCTCCCCTCGTCCCGATCCAAGGGCTCTTCCGAAGCCCTTTCGGGAGGCTCCCGCCCGGCCTCGGGCCTCTCACCGCCCGAGAACTCACCTGCTCGGGACGGGAGGTACGTCTGCAAAGTGTGAGGGAATACGATGATAATCATAAAAGAGTGGGGCGGCAGCCACCGCCGGTGTGTGCGGGGTCTGAGACTCCGGCGGAGCGCAGGGAGAAGGGGATGGAGGGGTCATCGGGGAAGCAAAAACTGAACGCTGCGGAAGCTCCGCAGAACGAAATAGGGCTGAAAACGAAAAAACTGAGAAAGAACGGGAGAAAAACATCGCTTAGCTCTCCGGGAAGTTCGGACTTTTGGTCAATACCCGATGTAGGGCTCTTAGTTCTGCCTTTATTGTTTTAAGGTAGCAGCCAAAAGTCAGAGGTCTCTGCAAGCGTTTGTTTGGGAGAGGGACCCGCCTGCTCCGAAGGGTTCATCATCGTTACCTACAGCATGGGGACAGCCCCAGCTCCCGACACGGTGCCGGGGCTCTGTAGACGGGCTAAGGCACGGGATCACTATTGGGAGACGGGACATTTTGCTACTTTGTGCCCGGGAAACCCGCCGAAAGCAGGAAAGCAACGAGAGAGGAGAGGTCCTGGTAAAATGGAGGGAAAGCGATGGCTGTTTTATGGTCCGAGTTTATAATCGGATTTTTTTCTATCCTGATAGAAAGCAGATAAATTTATGAAGGGAGAGCTAAGAGAATAATTACAGGGTGAAGGTAGTTAAATTTTATTTCGAGTCCCAAAGGCAAAACCTGACATTTTATTGCAAACATCTGGAAGGCTTAGGAGAGTGGCATGGTGTTTGTTTAAACACTCATTGAGAGCTTCATTCCGTAAAGCACAAACAAAGCCCATTTAAAAACACCCGGACCGTAAACGTTGTGCGGCTCTTCGCTTCTCTGAGTCCGAAAAGAGCGGGGGAGCGGAAATGGGCAACGAATGGGCGCCACAGTAGGGACGTAATTAGGAATTAGTTCATCATATGCAGCGATACCGTTTGTGCGGACCATAAAAGACCGCTGCCTTGCTTTGCTCGCAGCCGCAGCTCCGCTCGTGGCTCGAAGCGCCCCAAAACCTCTTCCGAGGGCATCGCCTCGGCTGCTCCGCTGCGCTATGAAGGCGATCGATGGACTAAAATGCAGCGCTCCCGTTATCATGCAGCCCTCAGCCCACGCTCGTTTTAGCATTGTTTTCAATTACAAACGGGGAAAACAAAAAAAAAAAAAAAAAAGAAGAAGAAGAACTCCCCGTGCGCGATGCGGCTGCGGGACCCTCGGTGCCATACCCATCGCGCAGCAGCGTTGCAGGCTGCTCTCAGTCCCTCGAGCACCACATCTGTGCAGCACTCCGCCGCTGCCGCCACCCCCCGTTTCTCCCCTTTGCAAACATTCCCATCCACAAACAAATATTTTCAGGCAACGGGAAGGAGCGGGAGTGAATGATTTCTTTCTGCATCTCCGGGCCTGGCCCTGCGACCCCTTCTCCCGCCGCTCGATTCCAGCGAGCGGTTTCCTGGATTTAATGGAGGTTGAGGCCGAAGGGCCGGTGGAGGGGCTGCCCCCCCCCCCCCCACACACACACCCGGGGTCGGACAGGGTGGGAGCTGTGCTGGGCGCTGCCCTCGCTCCCGGCTCTCCCAGTGCGGTGCGGGGCTCTGTCCCTCGGCCAAAGACCGAGAAGGGGTCGGGGTGCTGGAAACGCTAGATGAGCAAAACCGCGCTGAAACCCGGGAAGATCTATCTCGGTGTTTATGCATCGCCCCCCAAATTTCGTTGCAGTCGCTCTGCCTTTCCAACACTATTTCCTCCTGCTAAAACGCTATAAACAATTCTCTGTTTTCTTGGGCTCTCTTTCTAAACTCTCCCTTCCAGCTCCTTTAGAAGCCCTCTTCGCTCTTCGTCTCCTCTCGGAAATGAGGGAGAGGGTTCTGGTTGGGCCCACAGCCCCTCTCCACGGCCCCGGGGCCGGCGGTGTTCTGCGCGGCCCTCACTCTGTCCCGGCCCCGGTGCCGGCGCTGCGCCGCGGCCCCCTGCGAGCGCTCCCTCCGAGCGCACTGCACTCCCTGTTCTCCCCCCACATTCCCTCTCTCCCCCGGGATCCGGGACGCGACCTCCCTCCCCGCGGACTGGGGCAGCCCCGGCCAGGCGCGACCCGTCAGAGGCGATGCCCCAGAGGGGAGGGGAGGGGAAAGGAGCGGCGGGGGGTGCGGGGCGGGCGGCGGGGCCGCACAAAACCCGCTCCTCGGCCTAGATAGCGGCACTCCGCTTTGCCGGCGTTTCCCGAAGAAATCGTTCCTTTCTCGCCTTTCTGCCCGAATCCCCCTTCCCCCACTCGAACCCCGGAGGACCCCGCTTCAGGTCGGGCAGAGGTGTCCGAGGTGTTCCGCGTACCCCTAAACGCGTCACCGCGGCAGTGTCGCCAGCCGTCCCCACCGCTCGTCCCCACGGCGCTCCGCAGCCTCCGATCCCAAACACCTCTCCCCGCAATCCACCGCCCTAAGAGGCTCCATCCACACTAAGCCCAACTCATCATACAGAATTATTTATTGTTTATCCCGAGCCTCCCCTCCATCCTCGGAAGCGATGTAACTCCCTCTACGTCTTCCCCAGACGGGGTTTCGCTCTATCGCACGGATCCCCGCGCTCCGATCATAGAGCTGCCTCCCCCTCTCGGAATTCGGCCCCGATTTCCCTTTTCCCTGCGAGTTCGAAGGGTTTGGGGCAGAGCAGGCAGAGGGGTCGATGCCATCTCTACCGCTTCCCGGAGCTGTGCCTGGAGGGTTCGTTCGCTCAATGTCTAAAATGACAGAAAAAAATAATAAAAGTAAAATACTATAAGCCAAAATTACATTAAATAACAAAAATAGAATAGGATAGCATAGGATAGGATAGGGTAGGATATAGTAGAGTAATAAAATTAAAATAAAAACGTTGTAAATTTCGCTTCAAAACATAGCGAGAAATTCCTGCCGCCAACCCCACTGCCGACCCCACGACACAGCGTGAATGACGATTGAGAAGCACCCTCCGGTCCGGCACCCCCAGATTTTAAGGCCTTTTTCGAGCACTTCACGTGGTTTATTTTTTAATTTTCGGGGGCTTCGTTCCCGAGCCCGTGGGCAGCACGGAGCAGGAGTGCAACAGCCGATACCTCCCCTCACTCAGAGCGCGGCGCTCCGCGAAGGGTTAACTCCCCGCCCGGTGCTCGGGGGCCGTGGACGGCCAAAATTCCTCGTTCCGAAGTCCGGCTCTCCTTCCTTTCCCATTGGTCCACAGCTTTTGGGTCTCTCCCGATTCCTCTCTCCCATTGGTCAACGATATATATATTTTCACTATTTTTTTTTTTTCCCCCTCTTGACAGGCGCACGCAGCCTGCCTAACTCTCGGAGAAAAAAAAAAAAAAAAAAAAAAAAAAAAAATCCCAGAAGTTTGGATCAATCAGAGAGAGACAGAGGGAAAGGGGAGAAGGCAAAAAAAAAAAAAAAAAAAGATGAAACCCGGCCCGCGGCCCCTGTGAGCAGAGCACAGCTCCCGCTCTGCCCGCGGAGCACCGCAGCCCCATGTAGGACGGGGCTGTGCCGCTGGTGCTGGAGCCGCGGGGCCGTCCGCCCAGGGCCGGGCCGGGGGGAAGATGAGCGAGAGGCGGAGGTCGGCGGTGGCCCTCAGCTCCCGGGCGCACGCATTCTCTGTCGAAGCCTTGATTGGGACGAATAAAAAGAGGAAACTGCGGGACTGGGAGGACAAGGGGCTGGATTTGTCCATGGAAAGCCTCAGCCCCAATGGCCAGCTGGGCGACGGCGAGGACCCGACGCAATGCCTGGACCTCAACCCCGGTCAGTGTCGCTCCGCTCTCCGGCAGCCGCTGCGGGAAACTCCCGAGCTGGGGCAGGGGGGGGGTCGGGGAGGGAAGGGAGGGGGGGGAGAGGCGTTGTGAGATTTCTCGGATTTGTGTTATTTCTCTTCTTAGTATTTTCGATTTACAGTGACTTTTCCGCAGCTCTTTCCCGCTTTCCCTCCCGGTCCTAAATCTCTCTCGGATTCCGAGTGTCTCCCGCTTCCTCCTTCCCTCTCTCCCTCCCGACTCTGTGCTCTGTGCTGATCGCGGTGGGACACGCACGCCGCATCGCCCGGGTGCCCCACCACCGCGGGGGGTTGGGGTGCACAAAAATCGCGTCACAGCTGAGTCTGCCCCATGGGCACCGAGCGGGGTGCCGGGCACAGGAGGAGAGCCCCGGAGCAGCGCCGTGCCCAGCTCGGGACCCGCAGGGGCAGGGAGGGAGCGGGGGGCGGCGGGATGGGGGAAAAGGGACTGAGTGGTGCTTGGGGACGGAGAGCACGGGACTCCGCTCCCGTTTCTTGTAATCGATTATTATTACCATTAATATTACCACGATTATTTACCACACTTATTATTCTACGCTATTATGATTGTTACGATGGTTATGATACACTACTATTATTATACGCTACTATTATTGCACGTCCTATTTTATTTGAAAGGCAGACGGTAGCCCGGAGCGCTCCCTCGGCTCCAGGCTCCTCTTGTCCCTCTCCCCCAAGGCCACATCTCTCCGGTCCTCCAACGCAGCCGCGGAGCCGCGGGTGGGTGCGCGTCGGCTCTGAGCGCCGCCGAACGGGACGGGGCCACGTCGCTGCCCCGGAGGGGTTCGGTTTCGGAGCGAGGTCGCTCTCGGTAATTATTCTTCCTTCAGTATTGGGGTGCTGGGGGAGAGAAGGCCAAAAGATGTCTGCTGCCACCACGTAGGAGAAAGGATAGGAGCTTCCCCTCCCGCTCTCAGGCCGCTCCACCGCGCTTGAATCCTTTTGTAACGTATACATACACCTACAGCAATATACATATATTGCACGGTATATATTGCAATTTACGTATTGTACTGTATATATTGCAAAATATATGCATTTGGCGATTTTACTGAGTCAGCCGCCGAAAGGCCGTCGTGAAAAATCTTAGAGAAACGTAAAGAGAAAAAAAAAAGCAACAGATCATCAAACGATTAACTGAAAGAAGTTTGTAGTAAAAACCCTGCTGGGTGTTTCCGGAGGGAGCGAGGCCCGACGCTGCGCAGTCCCCGCCGTTGCGCTCCCGTTGCGCGGTGCTACCGGCACCGTCTCGGAGAGACGGAGTGTAGCGGCTGCCCGGCAGCAACGAACAGCGAGAACAGAGGAAAATAGAAGGAGAAAAAAAAAAAAAAAAAAAAAAAAAAAAAAAAAAAAAAAAAAAGAGGAGAGAAATCACGGCTTTGGGGTATTCCTCTTTCAAAATAACAAATACGGAAAGGAAGAGACAAAAATCTGCTTTGCCAAGGCAGAGAAGGTGCGCTCATTGGTCTTTCTTAGTGCCGTTTCTCACTAATTTCCGGCGTCTATACAATGTATTTGTGTTGGTCTAGAAGTTTAATTTGGCCTTTTCTCCACGAATTCGGGAAAAAAAATAAAAAAATAAAAACCTCAACACTCCTGCGCACCGGGTGGGCGACTGCAGAGAACGGCTGCAAAGCGTCCGGGGCCCGGCGAGCCGCTGTGGTGTTTTTCATAAAGCGAAGGAAATCAAGAACAGTTCGGGAAACCATTTCGGGAAGGCTGATAGACTTTAAACGAAGTCCGGGCTGCAATTTGCGCGCTCACTTCATTAAAACCAAATCCCGCGCAGCGCACTTCTGCTGCCGGGTGGAAATTGGTTCGCGGCCGCGTAATGGCCCCCACATTCCGGCTTTATAAGGTCCCATTAAGAACAAACTTTACACCTCAAGCGTTTAAACGTCGCCAAATCTCTGGCGATATACCAAAAATTGGAGGAGGGAACTTTTATAGCGTCCCAAACCTTCCCGATTCCAAATCGCTGCTTTGAATGGCGTAGGAAATAGCGCGGGTATAGCGCTTGTGCCGGAGGCGTATTGGTGCGGGCCCCGAACATCGAACTGAACGCTGCAAAAACGCGCATCGATTCGGCGCAGCAGAGAGCGAACGGGCCCCGATTTATCGAACTTTTCGCAAAAATTCACTCCGAGCCCTCGGGGCTTCGCCGCGCCGCATTTCGTCCGCCCCAGGGAACGGAGTGTCGCCCGAGGGAGGGAGAGGAAGGTTCCGTCCTCTTCCTCGCCGCCCCTCTCTGGGAATGTCTCTTTTTCTGCGTCCATCGTGAATTTCCTTTCGGTCTCCGCGCGCGAGTACCGTGAGAAAAATGAGATTGTTCCTCCGTGCCGCAGCGCTGGGGAACGCGTTTTGCCTGGGGAACCTCGAGAGATTCCCACGGCCTCCGCGTCGCGCCGGGAGGAGCCGCGCGTGGGGCGATGCGGGACCGTGGGAGGCGGCGGCTCTTTTAGCGCTGCCCCAACCCCACGCGGAGCCGAGAGCCCCCGCTGCGCGTCGTGGGGCCTGTGCGATGCCGTGTCTCTGATTCAATCCCGATCGAGGGGGGATTTCGGCCCGGCGAACAGCCGACAGCCGGCTTTGGGGAAAGTTCCAATGGGAGTTCGGGGTTTCCCTTCCGAAACGCGGCCGCTTCACACGGGCGGACCCGCAGGAGCTCCAGGGGCAAAGCGAAGGAGTGCGGTAGGAAATGAGCAGTTCCGTGCGTTTCGGTGCCCGTGTCGTCCACGCAGATAGAAAGGCGTCAGCGTGTTCCTAAGCGAATTCCTCCACTGCAGCCTCATCTCGAGTAAAAAATAAACAAATAAAAGAACACCTCGATTACAATCAACCCAACCAACCAACAAACCAGCTCCCCCGAACCCCACATTTTCGAGGGTGTGATTTTTGCCCATCAGCGAAGACGTAGCGTTGTCAGTTACTTTCAGCCCGGTGCGCTGCCCGAAGCGGTATTGATCAATATGAGAGCAGAGCGCGGCACGTCCAGGGGCGCGCACCCAGCCTGGGGGCCGCATCGCTGAGAGACCGGAGTTCCCTCCCCCGCTGCAGGGGAGAACGCTTTCTCAAAGCACGAGGAATTCGATTCATTTTATTTTTGTTTGTTTGTTTCGACGTACACATCTGTTTCTGGCTGCTCATCCTGGTGCATCTCCGTTTCTGGCCGTGCCCAGGAGGTGACTCCGGTTCTCGCTCCGACTGTTGTCGGAGCGGTGTGGACGTGGGGCTCCGAAGGGTTTTTTGCCCTCTGCCTGTGTGGGGTAGAAGCGGAGCGCGGCGGCCTTCGCGTCTTATTGGGGCCGGGCAGCCGACCAGCGCTCCGCCGCCACGAGCTGTGTGTCGAGGAACAGTCGGCTTTGTGCTTGGCAGAACCCCCCGCTCTGGCACCGAGTTTTCCATCTCACTTCTGAGCGGGGCTGCAGAAGTTCCTCCCTCCCACCTGCTGCACCCTCTCGAACGGGGGACATCGAGGCCACCCCCGCAGCATCTCACCCCATCCCGACCCCATGCATCCCACGCGCGGCGATGCGAAGCCCGGGGGCTCGGGCTGCGACCACGGCGGGGTCGGAATCCCGGAGCCGGAGTGAGCTCTGCGCGGGGTGCGCGGGGTGCGCGGGGCTGAGCGGTGCTGTCCCGCCTGCCCCGAGGAGGTGCGGAGCCCGCGGTGCGTTACGGATGCGAAGCAAGACAAAAGGCATTAACCCATGTCCTCCTTTTAATGTATTTTAAATCGTCGCTATTTTTTTTTTTTTAATGAAGTTTAGTTCCATCCGCGTGGAAAGCTGTTAGATCAATCGACATTTCTTGTCTTTAACAAGAAGTGTGGGACCGGCACAGGTCTGTGATTCCTTCCGCACCATCCATCACCGCTCCCTCCTCCCGTTCGGGACCGAGCGCCTGTATCGAGTATCGGCCCCTCCTCGGGCAGCAGCGTCTCCCTTCAGCCCTATCTGCCTCCTAGGAAACGGATGCTTTCTTTCAGATGGAAAAGTCGAAAAATGTCTTCCTAGAGTGCAGGAAAGAGCGTTTGCATCGTTTCACAGCATGGCAGTACCGCTTTGGTCACCTCTGGTCGGAGATCGGCGTCCCTCCAGCTCACCTCCCGTATGGCTCTGCTTCCACTTTCGTGGTTTCAAGCTTCGAAGAACTGTGTTATGTTGTTCATACGTATGCATATATATACACACACACATATATAGTGTTCTGTTCTAGATTACAGCTTACAATAGTTCAAAAAACGCACTAAAATCAGTCTGGGAGCATTCGGAACATTCCCGGGTGCATTGCAAGCAGCTTGTAGGGCAGTTACATCAGTCCCTGCTGTAAGCAAAATCTGTTCACATGCGGTTTCAGTCACCCTGAGTGCTCACACTGAGATCTGTAGTTTGCACTGCTGACGTAAAGCAAGGCTTAGTGGAAAAAGCTTCAGTTTTCTAACACTGACCACGTTCCAGAGATCGATAGAGATGCCCGGAGGGGCTGTGCCCGCTGAGGGAACTGCAAGACTCGGTGCCAGCTCCCTGCTCCCCGACGCCTCCCCGGGCATTGGTGAGGAATGGCGAGTCCCGACCCTCTGGAACGCGGCGGGCGGCGGACCGGGATCTGTGCGTCCGATGTTCGCCCTCGGCAGGAGCGGCGCTGGGCGCTGCGGAGCGGGGTCCCGAGAGGCGACGCTGAAATTTTTTTCCTTTTTTCTTTTCTTCCTCTCTTCTTCTTCTTCCTTTTCTTTTCTTTTTTCTCTCCTCTCTTTCTTTTATTTTCATTTTCCTTTTTTCCTTTTTTTTTTTTTTTTTTTTTTTCTTTTTCTTTTTTTCCTTCCCCCATCAAAACGATTGCTCCATCATCGCTTAATTCTTCGCTCCATCACCATTTAAAGCAGGTTACCACCCCGTCCTTTCTGCTTGCTGGGCACCTGTTGTCTATCCCGTCGCATGCTCCGTTGAGG